TAAAGAATGATTTTCATACCCAAAGTAACTAAAAGAATAAATATCGATTGCATTCTTCTTTTATTTATCAACTTCAAATACTATAAAAAACGTTTAGTATAACAATTCTATCACAAATCGTTAAATGTCCATATAAACCTGTCTTATATAGATGACGATATTGATATCATTTCTCCTGCCTACACATTGTTGATAATGGCAAGAAGTTAACTGCTTCGTTGATTTATCGCTTACTATTTTTCATCGATGTTCGTTGATTTTATTTGATAAAATGTATAAGATGATAAATCTCCAAGAATCACCAAACTTTTGAGTGTAGTCGAGTATGTGGATCAATAAAAACGTCAGGAAGTAGACAAATTGTCTCGATTAACGTCATTTTTTTACGAAATAATCGTATATACCTTAAAATAGTTTGTATTGTAAAGATAATTATGTATATCTCATGTCGAAGTATTATTTTGATAGCATGTATTCTGATAAACTCTAACACAAATCTTAATAAAATTCTAAAATTCATATATAAGAATACATGAGAAACTGGTTTTTAATACTTATTCATTATATTAGCTTTAGAGTAACTACAATTTTTTCACAGTCCATCAAAATGAAAATTAAATTCATCAATAATTCTATATTGATAAATTTCTTTCCAAATAACCCATACGATTGATGAAAATTTTCATTTATGCTATAAGAAGATAAAATATTGATTTCATCATTAAGAACATAAGCAAAAGTGGTAAGCATTCAACTCTCATACAATATGTATGCTTCAAAAGAAGAAGTATATTCTATAGTATACTTAAAAAAAAGTGAACATACTATCAATTATTTATATTTTATGAATCGCTCACAATTTTAAGTATTATACATATTAGGGATGTTACTTTATCTTTATAAAATAAAGAATAAAGAATTTCTTTCCTGCCGAAATCTACTTTTTTATTTCCTTCGAGTAATTCACAGAAAATCATGATATTATATAGTTAACGATAATATGGAATAACACTTCTTGTGTATATCAGTTCTTATATGATCCTTTTTTTTTGATGATATTGCATTTAAAAATCATAATGATGATAAGGAGGATTGTTAATATATGTATTCAGTTGTTATACAGGGTATTTGCATATGTACTTATTGCGTTAAAAAATATATCTGAAATTTTTATTTTAACTTTATTTTTGCAAATAAAGACTTTATCTTTATTCTTTATAAAATAAAGATAAAGTAAGACTTCTAATACATATATCATGAATTACAATTCAAGTCAAATATAATAGAATTAGTAAACTGCGGGATCGAAAAAATCAACTCCGACTCCGAGGTAATTTTTTTCAGAACTTCGGCACTAATTCCGAGAAAACTCCGAAAAGTCTTTTTGTAGTTCACCGATATCTAAATCATTTGTCACCATAGCGAAACGAATCTATGCAATACTATGATTCAATATAGTTGCCAAAAGACTTTTTTCAACATCAGAAAATACTGTAACTGCAAAACGAACACGCTCGGATTCTGAAAAACTCAATCATCTATTATTTTTAAAGAACAATTTAAATATTTTGAAACATCTCATTGCCAATAATATTAGTAAACGAACTATATCAATGTCATCTACAGCTACAGTGTCTTCTGAAGAATCTACTTGTACAATTTCTAAACAACCACGATTTGGTGTCGAAGACAGTTTCAGTCACATAGATGACATAGAAGTTTTCTTAGAGTAGTATATTTAATTTGACTGTTATATTTCTTAATATACTTACTTTAGTATTAGTATTTTTCTTAAAACTTGTCATGTTAATAGTAGTATATTTTTGCTCATTACTTAACATATAAAGAACAAAAATGCTTGACTCAGTCACAGATGCAACTCCGATATTGACTCCGAAAAAAAAGTTCTTGCAACTCCGACTCAGCAGTTCATTAAATCGAATTTGCGCATAAGTGTTAATATATAATCAAACATGCTGATACTGGTAATGATCGTAAATAAAACTATATTTCATTATAGCACAGCAACAATAAACATTTGTAAGAATGAAGAAAATACGATAAATATCTACATATATATTTTCTTTACTCTCTAAGCATTCATTAAATACAATTTCTATCTATAGAAGAAAACTGTCATATTTGTTAGCAGAACTTTTCTTTTGACAAGTTAATAAGAATCTGAATGAATGTAACATACGACTGACATTATTAATTGTTATAGAGCATTTATTATTTTATACATATTTATAAAAAGTGAAAATAATATTTCGAAATCACATATATAATGGTAGATATTTGACTGAAACTCCTCTTTCAATTCATCAACACTCTGCATATTAATCTTTCCCGCAATCATGTACATCATATAAAACCAAATGGAAAAATACAGAACGATAAGAGATATTTCTTTCTTAAAAAGTAGAATTCCACTATAACAAAATTGGATCAGTTTATTGCAAAAAAAAA